TCTGTCCGTCTGTCTGTCTGTCTCTCTCTCTGTCCGTCTGTGTGTCCATCAGACAGCGGTGTGTTTGGCGTTCCTCTGAACTCGCTGTTGGAGAACGACAGGAAGAAGTTTCCTGGAATCAAGGTTCCTGTTGTCTTCCAGAAGGTCTGTTTGTAATTTATATTGATCATAGTTTGATTATTGATTGATAGACTTTATTATCTTCAAATGTAAAGTGTAAAATGACTGTTGAGGACCAGAATTAGCTTCCTGCTAACAGCTGAACATTCCTGTGCTGCAGTGTGTGGTTAGCAGTTAGCATGAAGCTAACAGTGTATTAAAAGTGAATTTAGATCAGATCAGCTGCTGTAAGAGAACACCAGAGACTGACCTCAGAGCAGCTGCAGGTTCTCATGTTCCTGCAGAAGAACATTGTATTAGATCCATAATACAACATCTGCTCATTTATTATTATGTGTGTGTAGTTGTTGTGTATTTTAGAGCAGAGCGGCCTGCAGACTGAAGGAATTCTCAGAGTACCAGGATCAGCTGCTAGACTGAAGGTAACACACACTCACTGTAACTCCTACCAGTTAGGCTGGGGGAGGTTGGGGGAGGCTGGGGGAGGTGGGCTGCCCTCATCTGATTAGTGTTTATTAATAAAGGCTCATGAAGGTTATAATGTTAGGGTTAGTTAGTGGAGATAGGGGTTAGGGTTAGTGAGGTTGGGGAGTGTTTGGGGCCGATCACACAGAAAGACATCGCCTGCTGTTAACTCCTCTCTTGAATGTCTTTCTAGTAGTTTTTAGAAAAATGAAATCAACCGAGATGCTACTTCACCATTTCCTTTCTGTTTTGCCTGATAGACAGAAGTTAGCTAGCTTTTGATTTATGAATTATATTTTTCTTTTTCTTCTGATTAACACTTTCATTCTTGGGTTAGGGTTATGCCATAAAAGCATACTAGGGAAAAACTAAGATCTGTCTGTCCGTCTGTCTGTCTGCCTGTGTCTTCAGTACCTGCGGAGAGAGTTAGACAGATGTTGTGGAGGGTTCGACTGGTCTGCAGTCAGACCGGTGGACGCTGCAGGTCTGCTGAAGCTTTTCATCAGAGAGCTGCCGACACCTCTGCTGACGCACACACACCTGTCCACCTACCGCTCAGTGCTGGGTACACACACACCCACACATACACCCACACACACACACTCACAAACACACATATACACACTCACACTCACACATACACACATACACACTCACACACGTGTATAACTCATGTTGTTGTCTGTGTATAACTCATGTTGTTGTTTATGTATAACTTGTTTGTGTGCAGGTATCTCCTCTGTGGTCCACCAGGTTCAGGCTCTGCAGCTGCTGTCCTTGTTGCTTCCTGAAGCCCACAGAGAAACACTTCGAGTAAAGTTTCACAACACACACACTTCTTCATCATGTTAGCCTCAGCTGGTTCAACCTGTCACCTGGCTGCAGTGACGTACAGGTGTACTCCAGGACACTGTGACATCACTGCTGGGTGTGGTTACAGGTGCAACTCCTTTAACCACACCCACCCTCATGGTCAGAGGACCTTCCACCTTAAATATTTACATATCCACAGTTATAGATAAACTTGGTCCTGTTGCCGTGGTTGCAGATGTGTTTCTGTTGTTACAGGCCATGCTGGTCTTCCTCCGTAAGGTGGTCTCTAATCAGGACCAGAACAGGATGTCTCTGTGGAACGTTTCCATGGTGATGGCGCCCAACCTGTTCTCCCGCCATCACCGTGGCAACAAGCGCTCCGTCGCCAAGCAACGGGAGGAGATGGAGGAGGCGGTGGGCGGAGCTCAGCTGGTCCGATTGATGATCACACAGCAGGACCTGCTGTGGACGGTGAGCCAGGACACCTGCACTGTGACATCATCGTCTCACCTGTCTGTGACATCACTTCCTGTCTCCTTCACCAGGTCCCCAGCTTCCTGCTGTCTCAGGTGAGACAGATGAACCAGGCGTCCAATCAGAGACAGCTCGGCCTGACCAGAACCACGAGACGACTACTGAGGAGGAAGACCAACAGAGACCAGAACCAGGTGAGACAGAGACCAGGTGAGACAGAGACCAGAGCCAGGTGAGACAGAGACCAGAGCCAGGTGAGACAGAGAGACCAAATAGAAGCGGTGAGAACAGAGACCAGGGGGTGATGACAGAGAACCATGAGCAAGGTGTAGGCACAGAGACCAGGGTGAAGCAACAGCAGAAGCCAGTGGATCCAGACACAGGTGAAGGCTGTCATGTCTAGACCGAGACCCCAGAGCGGGGTGAAGGACGAGCAGAGGCCAGGGTGACGCAGCCACGCAACGCAGGCAGTCCCGCGCAGAAGGACCAGGTGGAGGGCCAGAGACCAGAGCCAGGTGCGACGAGAAGACAGCCCAACACGTGAGACAGAAGACCAGGTTGGGACCAGAGGACCGCAAGCCAGGTTGGAGACAGTGCAGGATACCGGAGGTTTAGAAGGCAGAACCCAGGACCAGTGGGAGGACAGAGACCCGAATAAGGTGGAGATCAAGAGACCAGACACAGGTGACGACAGAGACCGCAGGCTGAAGACAGCAGACCCAGAACCAGGTGAGACGAGACAGGTGAGTGGGGAACCGCAGACCAAGACCCAGGTTTGGACAGGACCGGGGTGAGGGGGGACGAGAGACAGCATGTGGTTGTGTCAATCGAAAGGGCCTTCTACATTCGCTGGCAGCTTTTTGTGTTCTCGCTGGTATCTTACTGCCCAACTCTTTCAGGTTCGGAGGTTCTCCTTGCCCATCAGACGTTGGATGGTGGCTGAAACTGTCGCACTGGTGCCAAGGGCCAGTTTCCTCTGCAGACCTGCAGGGGGGGGGGGGGGGGGGGGGGGGGGGGGGGGGGGGGAGGAGAGGGGGGGGGGGAGGGGGGCGGGGGCGGGGCGGGGGCGGGGGGGGGGGTGGGGTTGGTGGGGGGGCGGGGGGGCGGGCGGGGGGGGGGGGGCCGAGGGGGGAGGGCCGGGGGGGGATGTTATGGTTGTTGAGAATCTGATCCTAGTTGCTTTGGGTTCTTCCAACATGGTGCCCCCAAGAGCATTACAAGGTTCCGGCAGCACACACATGTATTCCATAGTGGGGATGCGTTGTTCCTTGGTTTAAGGCTTCGTCCTTTTTCTTACGATGCAGGAGGTTCCAGGTCAATTGTGGGGCCAAACACATTCTACATCTTTGTATTTTTCATCGTGACCTAAATGAAAGCCAGAACAGAAGGAAAGTCTTCTTCTTCTATCCCAGACCTGAGGGACTTATGTGACAAAACGACCAGCAAAGCGCATGGCTATTCTGTTGCGCGTTTAAATCGTATCACAGGTAAGTGGAGGGGTAGAATTGATGAGTGTAATACATAAGGCTCAAGAATT